TTATCACCGTGTTTTCTTTTTCGATCCGGAAGATTGGGACATTCACAAGGCGGTTCCGCACTGCACAAGCGTAATTTGGCTACCACGCACTCCAGGTGACATTCTCCCCTTACTTGTTCTGCAGTGCAAATATCGTATCCGTTGACAGAGGAAAATCCTACAACCAAAACGGTAAGATTCCGTACGTTATGTTATCAAACTCAAAAATTTATATCTTAAGACTACACTCACCGATGAAGTAAATCACGCAGATTATCAGCAAGATCTTAACATTCTCCATTTCACTTCTAACGCTTCCAACACAACGAAAGTATCGAAACAATGTAATCACTCGCTATTTATACGAATTTCTTGTATTTATATCTAAAGTAGCAAATAAGCAATATATTAGATGGGAGATATTATTACCGAGCTTGAAATTTTATAAAATTCTTATCGCAATACGAACCTTTAAGAATTACTTAAGTCAAAAATACTTTAGTGATATTGGATGGTGGGGTGATGGATGTTTCCATTCGGCTAGAGTTCAAAGCAATTAATGAAATGAAAATGATAAGGAAGTTGTCATCACTATCGAAGTGCACTTTTTCCATAAACCTTTAAAACAAATTTTTTTTTTGTTATTTCTATTCCCGCTATGTACAGTCGACCCCCTATAACCCTGTTGATAATTCCGTTTTATATGAATTCCACCTTGTAAGAGTCACTTAGATTTTACAAATATGTGTGCCGGGCTGTGAACGGCTCATGTATTTGTAAAATCTAAGTGACTCTTACAACATGGAATTCATATAAAACGAAATTATCAACAGGGTTATAGGGGGTTCGACTGTAATTCAGTTATAACTAATAAACCAAAAGTTTACTTATGTTAAGTTGAAAAGTAAAAAGGGGTCGTAGTCCGGGGACTTTTTGACGACTCCGACTCCAGAGCAACACACAATGTTTCACTCTTTAATCGTTTCAATTACAGTAGTTACAATTAACATCGTGATTAATTAAAACTACTACAAACTTCAGCTTTATTTCAGATGGTTAACGTTGAGGAGTCATCCGAGACATTATAGGATATACAGAAGCGTTATCTTTCAATAATTTAATATGGATAAAAGATCGGAATTAAGTTTCATATATCTGATTTCAGCCTTTCCAAATATTTTCGTATCAGCCAGTTGTGTAACTGTGATGGAGAAAACAAAAGTCCTGCTGTTGGTCTGTCTGATTTTCGTCACAGGTAAGTTTGTATGACGTAATTATTCGATTTACGTAAGATAATATATTAAATCTTACATGATTCATTCGTAAAATATCATTTTACAACGTGTAGTCCTGCCGAAATGAGGGGCGTGTGCAGTAATAATTGCATAGTAAATAGAAGAATGAAAAAATTATTAATAAAAACGAGGTTATATTATGGTAAAATACACCGAACATGGTAATTATAACTTTGTGTCATCCGGATTGCGGTATCTAGAAATTATTTATGATGACACCGTCACAATGCTAGGCTGCAACTTATTTACATCTTGTTGCCCAAATCAATGTATTTTAGTACAATTTTAGTTTCTTGCCTCGTATATCATACTGTTCCTGTTAACAAGAGAGCCGTGCTTGTCACTAATCTAACACCGTCCTGCAGAACATTTTTCAATTGAAATAACGTGACTTCCGGTACCAATCGGAAGTTCCTATACAGTTAATCGGGCTTCTGGCCTATCTGGACATCGACTTTGATGTATCTAACTCCGGTCTCGAGATTAAGGAAGGACAGAAGTAAGATGGAGGCCAGTGGGAATTTACTTCTGCAATTTGAAAATTCAAATGCAGTGATTCGCTGCAAAACAAATAATCTATTTCTCGTGAGTAATTTGATTTTAATGATAGATTAAACCCTTTATATCGGTCTGGTCTACAATATTTAAACGCAATGTACAGTACGGCACCTTTGGCATTTTCACATTTAGGTCATACCGATACTTGTGACAAACATCATTTCTACAAAATTTAATCTCCGCACTCAAATTTCAAACGGGACATTCACCCAAATATTTCCTAATAAACTTTTATGTTATTTTAAACTCAACGATACGTTATTTATCTGTTATTTCAAAAATAACTAGGATGTTTTAGTACAAGACACTGGCATAAATACAGCCAGATAAAGTAACGTGTTGGCAGTCTCGTGTTACTTAAAACACATATGAAAAAAAATGAGGTTGTTTTTTATTTTTATTTCTCTGATCTACATTTACATATAGTTTTTTATAAGTTTTAAAGGTTTTTATGGTGTCTTTCTCGGGGATGGCATATTTAATAGCACCATGCGCTGTCCACAAACGTCTTCCTGTGATTTTAACTTACAATAAATTTCATAGCGCTCGGTATCTGCTGCTGTATAACCATACTATACCTATAGTGCAAAGCACTTAATTTACTAGTGTGACCATTATGGGTATGTGTATCAGGTCTAGTACAAAGTGGTGTTACACTGAAGTCGTAGGACTTGCTGGTACGCTCACTCGGGTACAGCAAGGAGTAGTGGTGAGACCTCCGGGAAAGGGATGTTCAAATAAATATAGAAGATACGTTTTTTTCAGCAGATATAAAACAAATCGCTATTGAAATTTCTGGTTCTTTATTCAAATTCATCTAATATTGCGATTTTCTGTGTAATTTGTTATAAGAAGAACCGAGTACTCCTATAACGTTACGCAGGACGTACGTAGATATGCAACTTCTACTAAGTTCTTAATCGAATTACACACTAAACATTAATCGAATACCTGTGCAATGATCTAAATATTATTAACACGCATTACTAAACATAAAGTTTTGCAAATATGTACTGTACAATCGAGTAACGCCGATGTAGTGACCGAGCCGGAATTTTAAAATTCCCTGTATGGACCCAGATATTTGGGGTCAAAGTTCGTTAAAAGTCTATGAATGGATGACCAACGTAAGCCGGATGGTCGCTACGTGTGATACGAGTTTCCGATTGCTGTTTATTTACATTGATCTCTGCGACATTTTAGATTTAGATGGGATTTAAGCCTTTTTTTATGCAGCCTTTTAAGTTTCTTTAAACCTTTTTTTTTTGTTTCGGCAGTTTAACAGATGATAGGCAGCTAACTACAAATGTGAGTGTTTTAGCGTTTCTTCACGTTTTTCCGTTTACAACGCTAAACCCACAGAAATTGGTAAACCTCCTTTTGAAACTTCTTTACACAAAAGGTTAGAAGCGTGTCCAAAACTTTACTTACAAGATAGTTTCAAATGTTCACGGGTATCATTCCAAATAGCATCTTCCGTTTGTGCTCAACGAATTACAGAACTTTTTTGTGTTTGTATTTAGCAAACTCGAAAAATTTTACAGTTCATAGTTCCGTTCCAAGCATTCTATTTGTATAATTAGTTATTAATTTGCTAGCTTTAGTAATTTCTTTCTTCCTATCCGGATATTTGCGATTGAAATAGGTTTAGACAACAGTTTTCTCGCAGTAAATATCTTTGTGTCGTTTGTTTCCTCTTTCTCAAATTATCTTCAGTATCTTTTTCTATCTTTTACTCAGACAACATGCAGATGACTGTTTCTGCAATTTTACTAACAACTTCTGTTCTGTTAAATACTTCCGCAGTAATTTTCGCCTGTAGGCCTGTATAAAATAACTTATTCTAAGACTATTTTCATGAAAGTTTTTTTTTTATAAATATGTGTTTGTAAGACACGAATTATGCGATATAACGTATAGAATCTTATTGCTTTATTTGCAGGATTTTCCACAGTAATTGGGTACCAGATTTGTACACCCGAACAGGTGAGAAATGAATGTTATCTGATATGCGTAGTGGCTAAAGGCAAACTCTGCATGACCAATCTTCCTTGTCAATGTCCAAAACCTCCCGCTAGACAAGGAAAACACAGAGGATAATATACAAATTAAACACGTTTTCAATCATAATTGTTTCTTGTTTTTTGTCAAATTAATATCGAAAAATATTAAAGAAATTTAATTTTTATAAAGCGTGTGAAATTTTTTCCATTAAGTTTATTATAAACAAGAAATATTCTATACTTTAATAAATGATTTTTCTAACGTAATAGCCTGTCACTCGTCAATTCAACACTGAAGTTTTCAGCGCGTGTTTTATTTTAAAATATTTACTAAAAAATCGAGAATAATGCTTCAGAAAACACTTCGGAATAACATTATAATTAGGCTTTTATTACCGAAATATATTTATAACCCGATCGTATAATTACACCGTTTGATATTTCGCTGTAGTTTGATAAAAGATATAATATATCCAGAGGAATTAAACTGTTTACAATACAGAACTTGACAATAACACTACGGTTATTATGACAATATATTAATTCAAAGTAAACGATGATAATGTTGTTTACAGCTTTTTATTCGGTAAAACGATCTTTCCCGAAAATAACAATCCAGGAACGTTAGAAACTGTTAAAACAGACAAAACAAAAATCAATAAAACAATATTTTTACAAATATTTTTTAGACTTTTAAAATCATTAAAAATTCTCTGCATTTCTAATGTCAAAACAGCTTTACACTATTGTAGTGGTGACAGACCTTCCTACTCACCAAAGCCAACACTCTCAGATTTCTTTAACTGGAGCAGTCAAAGAAAACAATGGAATAGACTTTTAAAAATATTGTAATTAATTGCTTTTATTTTTTAATCTGTTTAAAATCATTATAATATAAGCATTATAGTTATATGGAGATATTTTTTCTCGATGAGATCAGGATTTCATCGTAATAATTTTTAATTAATAATGTAATTTTCACTCGTTAATCTCATCCAACACTATATTAACTGTTGGCGTTTTATATATAATATGAAACTCTGTAATTAAATCTTGAAGTATTAAATTCTGCTTCTATTATTTCGAAATCAAGCTTTATGTTTTAGGATGAGAGATTTATATAAATAGCGTGCCAGAACCACATTTATTTTCATTCGTTTTCTCGAATATTTTGCATTCTCCGGTAACTTGCGTAACTGATATGGAAAAAATAAAGATCCTGCTGTTGATCTCTCTGATTTACATTACTGGTAAGTTTGTATGACGTAATTATTCGACTTATATAAAATAATAAATGAAATCTTACATGCCTTATTCGTAGAATTTTCTTCCGTTACGAGCCTCCAGGTGTGTACTGGCAATGAAGGGCTGGGAAAATGCCGTTATTATTACATAGCAAAGAAAAGACCCTTCTATATAATGGAAGACCCTTCTATCGGACAGGCATCAAGATAAGTATAAAAGCTTCGCCTTGCACACGTCTGAATCCATGGAGGGGCGATAAATGAACTCTTTGGAATTCCTCGCTTATATTAATTTTTTGTTTTCATTCGTCTTCTTATTGCTGTACCCCGCAATCGATTTCATCCTTTTTTGTATTTTATTTTAAGGTTTAATTTAATGTTTCGTTTCTGTAATTTTCTTTAAACATTTTCCTTGCCCAAGGGCATGGCCGACTTCAACAATTATTATTAAATAAGTAAATAAAATTTCCTGTTCTAAGCTGTTGTAAGCGTCAAATTTCATAATTACATCACAGTATTTTGTCACCAAAGACTTCCTCTTTACTCTTCATATTAATGACAATTTTTTGTAAACGAAGGTTCCAATACGCTCAGACGTCTGGCTGCGGCAGTACAGACTATTTCTGTTTATTTTGAATGCTGGTGAAAAAATTATTAAAATACACGATGTTTTATTATCGTCAAACAAACCGAACATAGGTTGCTTAATTTAAAATAATGTATTCGTTTTTACTCTTTAATCGTAGTGTTTCCTCCGTAGTCGGTTTAGAATTGTGTACTCGCGAAATCCTTCAAGGGATTCGTAACGTGTACTGCATAACAGCTAAAGAACGATACTGCATAAAGGATCTTCCTTGTATCTATCTCGATTCTGCTAGAGAAGCCGTAAAGCATAGATGACCAGCAGACTTCTGATGAACTATCAAGTTTTTAAGATTATGACATGTAACAAAGCTTTTTATCAGTTACCTATGTGTACTAGTGTGTTTTCACACTATTATATATACGTAAAACGTGTGGAAAAAGTATTCAAATAAATAAATGCAAATACATCAAGGAAATTTTTATTCATGTGTGGGAAGTTACACTCAAATACAATCTTGGACGTATTATGTTAAGAGACGACTCGGTTTTTGCATAGAATTCACGAGTTTCTCGCAAGAAACCTGTCAATCGGTGCCGTAACTCGGCAGGTGTAACTAAAGATGAACAAAGATCTGGACGGAAGAAAGTTCGAAATAATGCCATCAAAATATAATCATTATTACACTTTTATTTTCGAATATGGAATTTTGCCACCTTGCGGGTCGATTCCTTAACGGCTTTGGTTAAACTTGGAAAATAATCCACCGTTTCTTACATTACATTTAGTGGAGCATTCCCTCTGGCCTGTAGCATTAAATGCCACTGGCTTACGGAGTAATCAGTGATTTAAACGCAGATAGCAATGAAATTGGCCTTAAAACGAATTTGGCGATAATAAAAATTATGTACAAAAAACTAGTAGACAATCGAGAAATAATAATAAATGACTCCACATTAGAAACGGTAGATAAGTATATATACCTGGGAAAAGTACAGTCGACCCCGTATAACACTGTTGATTATTCCGTTTTATATGAATTCCATGTTGTACGAGTCACTTAGATTTTACAAATACGTGAGCCGTTTATAGCCAGCATACGTCTTAGTAAAATCTAAGTGACTCGTACAACATGGAATTCATATAAAACAAAATAATTAACAGTGTTATAGTGGGGCTGACTGTAATACCCAAAACTGGCTCACTACTTCCACAAGACAACAAAAGAATCAAACTGGTATGGTCTACTATACCAGTTTACTATAATCTTCAAGTGAAAAATGCCAATCCACCTGAAAAAGATTACAAGTTACCATTTTGAATTTCGTTTCTGAATCTTTATCCGATCCGGAGATATTAAAAGAAACATACACAAACATATCCACGGAATTTTTGTTTTTCTTTTATCATTCTAAGTTCGAAAAATCTCAAAACATGGAGATTTGCCAAATCTCGGAAATTAAATTCGACACGATTCCAATACATTCCATTGTTGCATATACGTAACAACTGGGAAATTAGAAGTAGATGTTAAACTGATTTCTTATCCTAATTTTTCTGCAGTAGTCCGGCTGTTGTGCTGGAAAAGTAGTATTTACCCCGAGATTGTGATGTAAAATTAGTGTCTTTGTTTGCAAAAAGGAAAGAGGAGTAAGTTTTAACGATAAGAGAAATATACAGTTTTAAAACATCGTTTTTGCTTATTATTCTGAGCTAAACTGACAACGTAAATACATAGAACTAATATAATTATTTTTATTTATTCTATGCATTTAAGTTTAAGAATAAGCATCGAAATAAAATTAATTTATTTTTAGAATATTCTTTTTCAATGATTATTAGGTTAATAAATAATGAAATTATGTTTATAAAAAAATAATCAATTTTCAGTTCAAAGATGGCGTAAACCTAAAAGTGCTATTAGAAAATTGTTAAAAATATCGAATTTTTCAATGATGGTCTATGGCAATAACTATAATACACTACTTGTACAGCACACTAATTAGCACATGCTTTTTAGTCATTCACATTCTTTAAAAGTTTTAATATTTGCCATCTGAAATGATAAATATAACTTAATGGATTTTGAAATTACATCACCATAAAATTTCCATTATGTCAATTGATATTCGCATATTTTTATCGCAGCGAATGAAAATAGAAAGATAGCAAGGGAACAAGTGTTCACCTTGCATGGATAATAGAGACGTAGAACATCGAGGAAACAAAGAGAAATTTTAATTTTATTTTTTTCAGGGTACCAGTCAGTATAAATCTATTAATTCTTCATGGAATATTCTATTTTGGATGCAATTCGTCCGTATCTGAACGTTTTACGCCTCGTTGGTGTATTTATACCCAAACGCCAGGATTATTTATGGGTTAAAGCGTTTTTATTTGATGCATACTTTATAACAATAATTTCCATTTTGTTCTTGTTTCCCGATCATTTATCAAAGATTTTTATAAATTCGCATATTGACGAATTCTGTGGCATTCCCATTTTATGGGATATCTACGGAACGCATTTACGCTTGGTATTATTAGTTCCACTTTTGATGTCTCTGTTATTTCTTTACCTGTATAATACAAATGCATTTCACATAATAAAAACGATCAAAATCCTCGACGAAAACGTAAAATGCGCAAAGAAAATTCACCTAAAGTTACAGCAATTTCAAGACTTGATTGTAATGTATTTGAGCTTTGTCCAAGTATTTGTGTGTTTGTTATTTGGCACTTTGTATGTGTATTACAGGAACGCTTACGGATACTCTAAATTACTGTGGCAAGAAAGTTTCTGTAACTTTCATATTTTATTTGGCGTTTTTACTAACGTCAGCGTCATTTGTTATAGCACAGGTTTCCTTTGGATTGTTACTTACATTTCTATTCAATTGTTAGACACATTTATTATAGACATAAAGGTAAAAATACAAAGGGAAGAAGTTAATAGCAAAACATCGCTACTGGAACTGTCTTCAATTGTATATTTTATTAAAAGAATCGATAAAATATTCAAAACTATTTATGCTCTGTTCATAACAGTTTTAATTCCCATAATCAGCATTGTAAGTATATATGTAGTACTTTACGTATCGTTTACAATAGAATATCTTATGATATGCTTTGCAATATTTTGGGGATGTATTGTTATAGTAATAAACTTTCTTTACTTGACAAGAATTCCTTCGAACGTAAGTTAATTTCATTTCACAGAAAATTTGTAAATTTTATGTCTCCTAACCTTATAAATTGTTTAACAAGAATTTTATAAATAATACATTTCAGATGGAACGGTTTTTCACTTGCATAATGGACATTTGTTTCCTTGACGATGACAACAACAAAATCGTAAATATTCTTCTATAATTTATAAACTGAATATTTTACTTCGATTTTCATTAAAATATAGGCCTAGCTCATTTTTATTACATTTTAAATCAGAACTCGCGTAACGACAGTACAATAAAATGTGTTTTCTTTGTTTTCAGACGGAAGTATTAATGTCCATATCGAGAGCTGAAGTAGGATTCAGAAGCAACAATTTCTTTTTCTTCGACAAGCAAGCGGTTTTAAGTGTGAGTTTAATATCTCTTTTACTATATTATTATTCAATTTTATTCAAGATTTATTTCAAGATTCAAGATTATTCAAATTTTCAAGATTTATTTTTTCTACTATTGTTTATTTATATAGAAAACTGCTTGTATATAAGTAGTTTTCTGTAAAAAACGTGTATTTTGTTTCAGTATACTGTCGAATTCATCACACAATTAATTTCATTTTTGATAATAAGGAGTAAATCTATCATTAATTAGTACGTATCGCATCGAATATTTCACTGACTTGTGACTTCATAAACGAAAAATTATGTTCGTTGCTCATTGCCAATCTCAATTAATATTAAAGATTTTGAAATTAGACGTGACGTTCATATTGTCAAATCTACAGTGACGTTACGTCATATTCAATACTCGTATCTCGACGGATTTGAAGCAGGAGTAGGTTTTCGGCGGCTTCGATCTACGGCAACGGAATTCAAATATTAAGTTGATTGTAAGAAAGTTGTTCGTTAATTATTTTGGATTCACCAAAATGCAAAGATGCATTTTACTATGAAAGAAAAAACGACAACGCAATTGTTTCGTGTATTTAGAATTTCTTTTAACTTCACACACGATTGAACAATGCTCAGTTATAGAAAATGACTGTTCGAGATAATTGAAAAACAAAGCAGAAAACCATATTTTTTCATGGCACGAAGAACTTGGCAGAAATTGACGGCCATCTTTTCTAGAACTGATGAAATATTGGGCAGTAGAGTTAACAAAAGTGTTTAATATATTTTAAAGCGATTCGTTTATAAGCATTAATTAAATAATATTAAACATAGGAGAATGACATCTCTGACATGTAACTAGAAGTCTCTTTTGTAGGAATGTGGAGTATGAAACAAATTCGATCTCACTGTCGTTATTTGTTCACCAGCGGAAAGAAACTGTACTGTACATAAACTTTGCATCATTGGAAAAGAGTGCAATCGATAGAAGTCTTTGCACCATTTGGTGCAACACTTTTGTTTTTAGCACACCGAACAGAGAAATTGTGTCTGCATCGGCTAAACGTGTGTGCAAATATGTTGATCTGTGATAGAAATTTCGAAATTGTAACAAAGTGAAAGCCAAACTCTACTTATCTCACTTTTGTTCTCGGAAAAAAATGTACAAGATCCACGTATCATTATTGTGAAAATTATAATACACAAGATAATAAATAGATAAAGATTTATACTACTTCAGTTACTTTAAAAATCACTTTCTGTAATGGGAAACAACAATTTTACTTTTTACTTGTTGATTAGAGTTTACAACTCGTGTAGTACGTATGTAAGT